GTTTCTCCCCTGGTTGTTGTCCCAGTTCCTTGTGCTGCCCCTTCGGTTCCTCCCTTGGCTGGTTGTCCTGTGGCTGCTTTTCCTGGTTTATGTGTGGTCTTTTTGGGTGCTATTTATTATGGCCTTTTAGGTTACTGTTTGGATGCTGTGCTGGACTGAACTTTTGGCCTTCTAGTTCACATAATTTAATGGGTTAATTAATGGTTATGGTGGCTCTTTGGCTGCCCCCCTTTTTCCCTTATAAATATTAGATGTTTTGTAATGATAAAAGGATGTTATGATGCAATTTTTGGAGCCATAAAACTAGGGGTGTCAATTTTTGACACGTCCCGAACCCGACCCGGAAAAATCCGGGTTCGGGTCAATATGGACCCGAAACGGGTCGGGTTCAACAAATCAACCCGTTTTAAGAATCGGGTCGGGTTCGAGTTGACCCAGCAACCCGAAAATGACCCGAAATTGACACGAAAACTCCTATTTGACCCGTTTTTGACCCGAAAATCATTTTGGGTTGTAATTTTAGTAAGCTTATATGTCCTCTACTTAATTTAGCTCATAAATGTTTTTATGACTACTTTTTTAGTTCATAAATTGAGTATTTATGTTGGTTCATTCCCGCCCCCCCTCCTCTTCTAAAAACTCTTTGGTTTCCTCACCTAGCTCCCCTTTTCATGATTGCCCTTTCCCCTTCCCTTGGCCCTTCAGTTTCTTCCTGGTGTTGTTTCCCGTGGCTGGTTCTTCCCCCTTGTTGGGTGCTGGTTTTGGTCCCCTTTGTGCCCCTTCGATTTCTCCCCTGGCTGCTGTCCTGGTCCCCTTTGCGCCCCTTCAGTTTCCCCTTGGCTGTTGTCCCAGTTCCTTGTGCTGCCCCTTCGATTCCTCCCTTGGCTGGCTGTCCCGTGGCTGCTTTTCCTGGTTTATGTGTGGTCTTTTTGGGTGATATTTTGGAATAAATTATGACCTTTTTAGGTTACTGTTTGGGTGTTGTGCTGTATTGAACTTTTGGCCTTCTAGTTCCCATAATTTAATGGGTTAATTAATTAATGGTTATGGTGGTTCTTTGGCTGCCTCCCTTTTTCCCCTATAAATATTAGATGTTTTGTAATGATAAAAGGATGTTATGATGCAATTTTTGGAGCCATAAAACTAGGGGTGTCAATTTTTGACCCGACCCGAAGAAAAATCCAGGTTCGGGTCAACGTGGACCCGAAACGGGTCGGGTTCGGGTTCAACAAATCAACCCGTTTTAAAAATCGGGTTGGGTTGACCCAGCAACCCGAAAAAGACCCGAAATTGACACAAAAACTTCTATTTGACTCGGAAACCCAAGATTGACCCGAAAATCTAAGATCGACCCGATTTTTGACCCAAAAATTAGCAATTTTAGGTCAACTTCGGGTCATTCTTGTCGGGTCGGTTGACCCGGATCCGAATCGGGTCGGGTTCGGGTCCGGAAACCTGACCCGTTTTTAAAAATGGGTCGGGTTCGGGTTGACGCGAACATTGTCGGGTCAATTTCGGGTTCGACCCGAGCCCGACCCGTTGACCCGAATTGACACCCCTGCATAAAACTGAGGGTTTTTTCATCTTCATTGGAAAATCTTACGAGCTTGTTCCGTGCTTCTCTTCTCCTCTAGGAAAGCTTGCGAGCTTGTCCTCCCTTCGTCTCGGACTTCTTATCTCGTCCTTCTCCCCGCAAGTGTCCAACCCACCTGCATCTGTGTTCTCCAACGATGGAATGCAAGTTTAGGTGTTTAATTTCATGTCAAAGTTTGTAAGAGTCGCGTTTGATAATATAAAAGTTGTCTTTTGTTATTTCAAGTTATAAAGAAGAGTATCTTTGTTTTTTATTTTGTCTAATTTTTGAGAATTTTGTGTAATTTTCTATTATTCGGGGAAGTGTTTCTTTTTGTTGCAAAAATTAGGGGTTTTCCTAATTTTTGCTTGCATCAGCCCCACTATTGTGGGTGGCGACAGTAGAGGAGGCGCTACTAGCCCGCTGATGTAGAACATATATGAAATTATAATTTAGATATGATTTTGCATGCTTGATGATTAAGAGCAAGTTAATTAAAGCTTTATGGTGAGTTAAACAATGAAATAAACACAAAGAACGGTAAACACAAGCTTAGGTCAAGTTACTTACGAAAAGTAAAAACCACATAACAATCAATTATTCTTGACGTTGCATACGAGATGAGTTTCAACAAGAAATCCCTAATCTAACAATAAGAGTAGTGCTATGAAAGTTCTCTCACATAATTCCTATTAAACACGGAGCGTTGCAAGATTTTGCATTAATCAATCAAAACTACAAGTAAGGATCAATGAGGAAGGTATGAGAGAAGGCAAGAGCTAACCCTTTGCTAAGATTCAACCTTCTCGCAAGCTTGGACAGCAGTTGGTGGCTTCTTGGACAGCTCGGACAGCAACAAATCCAAGCTTGAACCTTTGGACAACAAGTAGCCAATCTGGGACAGAGATTCCTGACAGTTCCAGGCAGCAACGGTCGCTTCCAAAGGGGCTGGACAGTAGTGAACTCCAGCTGGAATCACTGGACAGAGCTAACAGGAGGTCTTGGAGAGCAGCTTTCTAGGGTTTGGAAGGGTTGACAGCAGGGGCGGAGCCAGAAATTTTTAGGAAAAGAAAAGAAGTAATGGAGGGATTTGAATTTTGGAGGTGTGAGGGTGAGGGTATGGCCGGCGGCTAAACTAGGAGTAGGTTTAGGGTTTGTGGGTTGAATGGCTTGGTGGTGGGAGAGGGAGGGCCGGTTTGGGTGTGGAGGGGAGATGGGTTGGTGGGGGGGAGTTGGCCGGCGGCAAGGTGGAGTGTGGCTAGGGAATCCGGCGGCTAAGTGGTTAGGGGGCCTAGGCCGGCGGCTAGGAGGAAGGGGAAGGGAGAAACGAAGCCAAAAGGAAGAAAGAAAATAAAAGCCACGAACCCGAACGCTTCCAAGGTTGGTGGACGATCCGGTTCCCTCTCTAAGGGTTCTCTCCAAAGCTCTCACGCTCTCAAGCTCTCAAGACAAGAGTTGTAGGAAATTTTCTTATTATCATCCATTAACCCTCAAAGAAAAAGATGAAAACTTTAAATAACCTATACAATAAGAAAATACATAGTACTACTAAGCCCCTAGGGCTTACACATACCTAAGCCCTTAAGTAAGGACAAAATGGAAAAGCATAATAAAACTTCATAAAGAAAACTAATACATAAAAAATAAATATGAAAATAAAAAATAGAGCAGTGTAATCGTGGCCGTAGATCGACGGCTACGCCTCTAATAAACTTTTCATGTCCTGATGTCCTCATCACTCGCCTCCTATAAACAAAAACCGGCCTTGGACAGGCTGGTTCAGGAGGAACCAGCCTAACACGTACGCTCATTTTTATATTAGTTCTTTGTGATTAACTGTTCCATTGCATCAGTTTTTATCTATCATGCTTTGCTTGATCATGTCTTTACTTTGGATGATTTATCTTTTCAGTTTTCAAATTGAATATGAACTTCAAGGGAGAAAGGGAAGGTGAGAATTACATGTACACGTTGAGGATGATCTATGTGTACGTGCAACACATGATTTGATACCCAAAACTGCAGCATGCTCAATAAAAGACATGTTGAACCATACAGCCATATTATGTTTTCTACGAGATAGTGTAGAATTTGATGCCTTAAAATAGTGGTGCAACAGAATGTCATCTTTTTGTGAAGAAGCAACAGGATATTGCTTTTTAATTAGAGGAAAAGATTTAGTGATTGAATTAATGTTTGGTGATAAAACTTTGTGCTTGCCCAGTTTATAGGACAATTTTCATTTTTACATTTTAACATAACAAAATGAATCTTGTTATTGAAGCTATTTTGAACATTTTAGTCATATTTTAAAATATGTTCAAATTAATAATATTGCTAATGAAGAAAGCACCAAAAAAGGATGGTCTCAACAGAAAAGCTTGATTTAAACTTTTGATCTTTTTTGCAGACTGATCAGAAGTTACGTGTCTGCGACATATGTGGAGCTTTCTTAAGTGTTTATGACAGGTAAAGCTCAATTGTATGATGGCATCTTCAGTATATTGTCACTGGTTATAAAGTACAGTTTAAGATCGTCAGCTTTTGACCCTGAAAATTGCGCTTTTATCAGCTGGCTTTTGGGTCCAGTTCTAGGAGGAAACTTTTGCTGCTAATTAATGTGCGTGTTTTCTATTTTTAACGTAGAGTAGTTAGAAGAATTGATAGGGTTAATGACGTTGGCTGAACTTGAAGGAATTTTTTCTACAAGTTATGGTTCCCTTGTGAATGGGTTTCCACTAATTACTGTCTTTTAGTGACCGTCGATTGGCTGATCATTTTGGAGGGAAGTTGCATTTGGGTTATATGCAAATCCGTGAGAAGCTTACTGAACTTCAGGTTAGGTTTACATCTTTTCAGCTTTTAATTACTTTTTTCTATTTTTCTCGTTATGTCATTCCGTTACGATTGGATCTATTCTGTTTTATTTGACTGAATGGTACTGCAAGCTTATATCTTATAAAAATGTAATATGATTTCTTATATGTTTAAGGCTTTATTTGGGACGGCTTTTTTTTGTACTAAAAAGCTGCTTCAAGAAGCAGTAAAAAAGCCGTCCCAAACGAAGTTTAAGTAATCTGGAATCTGCTTGTCATCTTATTAAATTTCCTTGAAGTCCGAGCTCTGTAAATGCTGGTCAGGTGCCGGTTATGTTTGACCATTCTTCAATAAAGAAATTCAGTTATATTTGGCATCAGTGAGTTTTCTAACCTTAACTAGCAGATAACTATATGGTCTCTTTCATTTTTATTATTACTTATTTAATTTGGATACTATAATGGTTATCCGGAGGGTTCAAAATAGCGGTGGTGGCAATTTGTGGCTTTCATAATCAAAATCCTTGGACTGTCAGCTCTCCGTTAGTACAACTACGGTATACACAAGTGAAAGAATCTGTGAGTTGTGCAACAGTATGTAAAGTATATGAATTTGATGCCAAATCATTTTACTAATTTAAATTTCAGATATAGTTCATTGATCTTGCTTTGCTTTGCTCGTTTATTGCATATGCTTTGAATTTCTTACTTAGAACTGATTCAACAAGCATCAAATGTATTGTATTAACAGCTGTGTTTGTTTTGTTTTAATTCAATATATGATTTTTTTCAGAGTCTTTTATAATTTATGATTTTGAAAGCTTAAGGCTTTTTAGAAATCCTTTTATTGGATCTGGAGAAAAACTATACAATTTTTTTCTATTCATTCTTGCACGTTAATATTATTGGAATTTTGATATTCATATGTCAAATTTAATGTGTCTTCCTAGGTATGGCTAGTTTTAATTTTTATTTTATTATTATTATTTTGTATTTTCCTGCAATTTAGTGCTTCTCGCATTTATCGGGTTGGAGGACCACCTTTATGGGATTGGTTGCATAGAAAGTTGCATTATTTCTGTTCTATGTTCAACTGCATAATGTCTTAACCGAATTTATCTAGCACCATTAGAGTTATTTCTAGTTTTTTTAAAAATTTGTTAAAATATTTTTTTTCAAATTCCCTATGATTTGGTTTATTTTTTTGCTTATTTGACGAGGAATACTTTAAGTTCTAATGCTTAAATAGTAAACTTTGTTTTCTTGAAAATCAAGTATTGGAGGATTGTAACACTGAAAAGTGAAAGAGAACTATGCCTAGAGAAAACACTTCGGATCTGTTATTTGTGCGCCATGTTGTGTACATTTTTTACTTCCATGGGATCAAAAGGCCTTAAGAGTTGCTGAAAATTATGCACTAATGCAAGTCTTTGGCCTATATAATATGAAATTTTGTTCGATTTGGAAAACTTGTGCATCTTTTCTTGCTATTTGTCTGAGGAATTCTGTTAGTACTGTATTTAATGGTAGAATTTGGTATGGCTCAAATGCTAATCAACTACCGGAAGTGCAACGACCATTACATTGTCACTGAACGGGATTTATGGTGATACTTGTTAAGGGTTTTGTAATGTTTAATTTATGTACTGTCGCATTTTTAACCTGATGAAATTACTATTTTCAGTATATTAAGGTAAATAACTTGAAATTTCCCTTCATTATGTTGGGATATTTGTTCATATTTATAGTAGCTTATCATGCTTTAGGAAAATAAGGGTCATGCTGTTGTAATGTGGCGATAATTTTTGAATTTCAGTTTTGTTCCATCATTCCATGCTCTTCATTCTATTATGTTCGCAATTTCAGATCTTCATATTATTACCAATTTTAGATCTTCGAGCTTTTTGGCTTGAATATTTATCACTAAATTTTGTTTATACCTTTTGTTATTTCTTTTCTTGGTGCTCTACATAATTTCATTTGTATTATCCATGATTAGTTGCAACTTCTGACAAGATATTCCTGTGCCAACTAGCCAAAGTTTGTTTTGCATTGTCAATTTATCTATCAGGAGGCATGATGTTTTTTTACTTGTTGATTTAAGAGGCCAAATTCTGCAATGAATCTCTATGAAAATCTTTTATATGGGTCTATAACGGTAAAACACTAGGGCTTTTGTTTGTAAATTACAACGCTAGCTTTCTAAAAGCTTGTTTAATCCATGTGTTTCTGTGATGTACTTATTTGTTACTGCATCATTTTTGGATTGCCAGCTGAATCTTGAAAATCTGTGTAACTTTAATTCTCAGATGCTAAGGGCATGATTGACAGCACTTTTTTTTTGTTATAGATTTTGGATAAAATATGTTTGGCAAGTGTTTTTATCTTTTATTTAAAAATATCAAATTATTTTTAATACACTAAAAAAAATTTAGATGTTTTTAATTTTTTTTTTCAAAACATTAACTCCCAATTAATTGACCTCGTGCACCACGCCAGCTAGCCCTACACATAACTATGACCAACCCTGCACTTTTGTTAGCCAACCTTGTCGCCCCCAGGACTAGCCCTAAACCTGTATGCTGCCCAGCTCCACGCTCCTTGCCATGCCACCTCACTCTCTTGCCTTACCGTGCCCAACCTCGCCATTATGCCTCTAGCTAGCCTCGCCTCTCATGGCCTTGTTCTCTCAAAGTAAAAACAAAAAAACAACTAATATTTATTTATTTTTTATTTCACAGTAAAACTCAAACAAAATGAATGAAAAATTAAAATAAAAAATGAAAAAAGGTCCCAAAATCAAACCCCCCGCCCCCAAATAAATAATGTATACTTAAATCCCCTTGTTTTGATGTGAAGTTATCTTTCTTGCTATCTTTAAAATAATAGTAAATCACTTTGGGCTTGGTTTGCTAATATATTATTACTGGATTTGCCTTTCAAGATTCAGTCATGTGTTGCACATGCCGCACCTTCCTGGCTTAACTTCCATGCGCAACACACATTCAGAGATTGTCATATAATACAACACAACATTAATGTAACATTACCAGACACTTTTGATTTAAAACTTTCAGTTTGCCTATTCTGTGATCTTCTAATGATGCATATTGAAAAATTTTGGTGAATTCTAGAGCTCGACTTGTCCTAGCTTTTTGTTTATGTTCTATGGCTTTGAAAACTTCAACTTTGAATTTCCTCGTTAACTCCTGTAAAGAAGCAAGGATTTTGATGAATATTTTCTTCAAGTACTTTGGCAAAGTAACAAAAAATTTAAACAACTTTTGCGCTTGAAGGCATGAATAGAAGATACTACATTACTACTCATGTGGTTTCCTCATGAAAGACTTCTTTAGCTATTCTTCGGTTATCAAAGGCAATACTTTGGATGGTTGTCTGACAATTCAGAGGCATGAATGGCAGCACTTTTTGTTGTTATAAATTTTTTGGATAAAATATGATTGGCAGGTGTTTTTATCTTTTATTTAAAAAAATTAAATTATTTTTAATTCACTAAAAAATTTAGATGCTTTTAATTTTTTTTTTCAAAACATTAACTCCCAATTAATTGACCTCGTGCCCCGCGCCAGCTAGCCCTACACATAACTATGACCTATGATGCACCGACACAGACACGGCGACACGGACACAACACGACACGAACACGGGACACGACAATTTTTAAAAATATAGGACACGGGTGCGGCATGAACACGACATAATATTTTTTTAATATAATAGATAATAATTTTTAAAAATATAGGACACGAACACGGCGTGGACAGATGACTCTTTTGAACCTTCACCTAATCCACCCCCACTAGTAGCAGAGCTCATTTTGCTAACAAACCAATCATAAATATGAATACACCAAATTAAATTGATATGAAGTGAAATCAAAATATCCCAATAATAAGACAACATGAATACAACAATATACCAGTCTGCCGGGGGTCCAAGGGGGCGTTGCCCCCGGAACAAAATTTTATTGTAAGAGTAATTTTGAAGTTCTGATTGTTTTTAAAGTTCGTAAGTTGTTTGTATGGGAAGATATCGAGCAGTACCGAGCATGTAACTAGCGGTACTGAGCGGTACCGAGCATGTACCTAGCAGTACCGAGCATATACCTAGCGGTACCGAGCATGTAACTAGCGTTACCGAGCATGTACCTAGCAGTACCGAGCATATACCTAGCAGTACCGAGCATGTACCTAGCGGTATCGAGCAGTACCGAGCATATATTGAGCAATACCGAGCATATAGTGAGTAGTACCGAGCATGTACTGAGCGGTACCGAGCATGTACCTAGCGATACCTCATTTAATAACAGGACACGCATGTCCGACACGCTTGTCCGATTTTAATTTTAATTTTTTAAATTGAAACACTCCAATGCCGTGTTGGACACGTGTCCATGCCGTGTCCGACACGTGTCAGACACTACATACCCTCTTTAAGTGCCGTGTCGGTGCATCATAGACTATGACCAACCTCGCACTTTTGTTAGCCAACCTTGTCGCCACCAGGATTAGCCCTAAACCTGTATGTTACCCAGCTCCATGCTCCTTGCCATGCCACCTCACTCTCTTGCCTTACCGTGCCCAACCTCGCCAGTATGACTCTAGCTAGCCTCGCCTCTCATGGCCTTGTTCTATCAAAGTAACATAAAAACAACTAATATTTAATTTTTTTTTTATTTAACAGTAGAACGCAAACAAAATGAATGGAAAATTAAAATTAAAAATGAAAAAAAAGGTCTCCAATGCCCCCCTAAATAAATAATGTATACTTAAATCCCCTTAGTATGATGTGAAGTTATCTTTCTTGCTATCTTTAAGATAATGGTAAATCACTTAGGGCTTGGTTTGCTAATATATTCATGCAGCACCTTCCTGACTTAACTTCCATGCGCAACACGCATGCAGAGATTGTCATATAATACAACACAACATTAATGTAACATTACCAGACACTGTTGATTTAAAACTTTCAGTTTGCCTATTCTGCGATTAATAGACGCACCTTCTAATGATGCATATTGAAAAATTTTGGTGCATTCTACAGATTGACTTGTCCTAGCTTTTTGTTTATATTCTATGGCTTTGAAAACTTCAACTTTGAGAATTTCTTCGTTCAAATTCCTGTAAAGAAGCAAGGATTTTGATGAATATTTTCTTCAAGTACTTTGGTAAAGTAACAAAAAATTTAATGGACTTTTGCGCTTGAATTCATGAATAGAAAGATACTACTCACATGTGGTTTCCTCATGAAAGACTCCTTTAGCTATTCTTCGGTTATCAAAGGTTACTTTGGATGCTTGTCTGACATTTCAGAGGCAGAGTCGGCATGAGTGGAAACCTGGTCATCTCCATTAAGATTTATGCTCTGTTAATGCTGTGAGTGCGTTTTTCGTTTATATTTATGTGCAAGGAGATTTGCATAACAGTTTGTCTACATGCAGGATTTGCTTTAACTAAGTCTATCTTGTTTTGGTGAGTGGGCTTTCTCTGAATGTAATCTAAAGAAAATATTTTGCTGTTTAAAGAGATTCTAAATTCTTCTCTATGAATGCATTTACATGATTCTGAACCTAGAGAAATTCACAAAAGTTAGTAAGTCTTTTTTCTGCGATCGTCTCTTGAGGCATGTTGTCTTGTATTCCATTTTTTTAGTGATATGGGAATAAAGAGTCTTGTTTTCTTTCCCATGATTTCCATCTGATTTTGTCATGCAGTTTACAGATGATATCATTCCATTTTATATGTTAACAGTAGCGATTCATCATCATTTTTATTCTTCTTTGTATTTTGAAGATTAACATTAAGTTGAACCAGGAGGAAGGAAATAAGTCTAGAAAGAGAGAGCGGTCTGAAGAGAAGAGAGAGAGATCTGAGGATCGAAGGTATATTGACTCGTGATGAACCTCATAATTAGTCTAATGATTTATCATCACATTCTTCATCCCCCATTTCCCCATATTGGCAACTTCGGCTGATCATTTGATATAATCTCCACTTGTTTAGGTCCAAGGAGCGTGTTCGGGACGATCGAAGTGATCAACGGGAAAGAGGGCGTGAATATGATCGGCATGCTAGGGAGCATGATAGGAACCATGATAGAGATCGGAACCATGGCAGAGATCGGAGCTATAATCGTGAACGTGATAGGAATTTAGCTCGATCTCGGCATGATGATTCCCGAAGCCGGCAAAGATCTCGGTCTCGTTCCCCTGAACGTTCTAGAGATTATGATCGGCATAGGTAATATCTATTATTTCAATTAAATCCTGCAAATAATCTTTAGCTTGTCCAACTGCACTATCGAACACTTTTTAGAAAATATTTTGCCATAGAATGGTGAAAATCATACACTCTGTCATAGTTCATTTTAGTAAGCCATGAATAGCTTCATTGCCGGAAAGTGCAGTGTTGTTTATAAATGCGAGTGCCTTTTTTCAGCATTCACTCAGTTTGAGAGCTTTTTTTTTGGAACACAAAATGCTCAGAATGCAACAATAATTGATACTAATTTACTAAACAGTGAAGATCATCTCTACCTCAATGATACTTCTATATTTGATTCCTATTTCTCAATCCTAGTAAAAACTACTTAATCCAATTCTTGTGGCCTCTACACTTGTTGTACAGTCATGAATACATTCAGTAATAAGTGAACATAACTATGTGGTATGTGTAATATCAACTTCATTTTGTAGTATTTTTTGCATGTATTAGTTAATAGTTACGGTACCAGCGGTATTTTGCTGTTTGTGGCCTTGGTTTGACTCTTGTGCTGCGTGTGCCCTATTTTTCAAAATATCATACTTTTATCAGCCTCCTTTAGTGAAACACAACAGTTACAATAAAATTTGGAGGTGGACATACTTGACAAAAGCTCTAACAGCTTGAATCGTATCAGCAAGAAGATTTTTCCTTCGGAAAAATTGATTGGAAAGTAGTTTTAAAGAGTTCGAGCATCAAGAACAGAAAAATATAATCCAGCTTGAATGAAGTCCTGCATTTTTTTCCTTTCCATTTGTTTTTGTGTTAGGCCGGTTCACCTTGAATCGGCCCAGCCGGCCTAAGGGCCGGCTCAACTCTACTACAGGAGGTGGAACTTGTCCGCCTCCAAGGATCTTGCCCGCCCACTTTGAGGGCCCCACTAGTCCAAGTGAATTCAAATTGAAAAGGAGGGGGCGGCTAAAGCTTGGGAGGGAAATTAGATTAGAAAAGTTTTGTATTTAAGAGCATGATATGTTTAAAGAAGAATTATGTTTGGATTTGTTCTCAATTAGGGTTTCTTGGCGACTTGGGCTCTTGAATCTCTTGTCTAGAGATTTGAGAGAGACGATTCTCCTCCCGAATTGAGGATCCCTTGTATCTTTATTTCGTTCTTGTTTCGCTTTGCGTTCTATAAGATTATCTATCGTTTGATTGTTCTTCCACCATATTTTCATCGGTTTTCTCATTTTTGTACCGATTATTGTTATGTCTGCTTGCTAACTCAAGTATTTCTCATTAGGGTTACTTGCGAACTCAACTCAAGTATTTCCAATCATTTTGTTTTAGTTGTAATCAATAACCATTGGTGCTAATAATCTGCTAACTCTTGTTGCGTTTTCAGACGCCATGATCGACGCTGAAGCTCCGACTCAATGCAGATGGGTGATGAGCATCAGACTTCCTTCCATGTATTTTCCAGTTGTGGAAAAGAGATTTTATGCCCCCAATGTGTGATTGTTATATGAAAAATATTCAGTATTGCCAACCAAAGGAAGTATGAAACAAAGGCTTTATTTTGTACAAATTTTCTACTATTTTTTCAGTCAAGCTGCTCATGTACTATGTACGATCACTGAATGTTTGATGCTAACGTCCAAACCAATTATTCTAATGCTTAGTTTGCTTAAGCTAATGCAAAATCTAACAATTCTTCATATGGATTTTCAGGATTATATGATTATGGGATCAGATTGTATAATATATTGGTCATTTTTATGAGTAGAATGGAATTTTCTATCATATCTGTTGAATAGGCTAATAAAATTACATTTAGCAAGCTATAATCCTTGAAATTGCATCTCTGTACATCTGTTCTTTTTTAAATATTAGCTAAAATACTGAAAATAATTTATTATTTCAAAATTATTAGCCTTTTGTAGTCTATATATGTCTGTTATTTTGCTTGATTATTTGAATTAGGTTACCGAGAACATTATATAAATCCCCACATTCACCATGCTTGTGCATATGTTACTATTAGCCTATATATATACTGGCTGTATAATTTGAACGATATTGAAATTAAATTAGCCAAAATGAGTTCATGCAAACAAAAAAAGCACAATTAGAACTCATTGTATTGAGATTACTGTATTGAGATTTCAATTGGGATGGCTTTTTTATTATTTTTTAAAATAAATTTTTAGTGTAAATATTTTAATTTTTATATTAAAAAGTTATTTTAAAAAATAGTAAGAAAGTCGTCTCAAACAAAACCTGGGACAAAACTTAAATAAAACTCACTTTCAAATTGCATAAGAAAATGTAGAGAAAATTTTTGAACTATGTATTATTAAAAATTTAAAATTATCAATTACAATTTTAATACTGTCAAAATAAATAACTTTTTTTTATCAAATTTTGATGAATATATATTTTTAAAGTATTAACTTGTATTAAAACATAAAAAGTATAGTTTACATTAACATTATATTTTTTAATTTTTTCCTCTTTTTTATTTTTAATTATTTTTAAGTATATTTATTTAATATATTTTTCACTTAATTATTTTATAAAATTTACTATAGCAAATCACCCGTTTAACGGGGCAACTTACAATAGTAATATTTTTTTAAATAAGTTGTATGTTAGTTCGGCGATTGAGACACGAGTTAGCAAGTCTAAGTCAGCATAAGTCGCCCGTTTGATGGATGACTTTGTCTATTCTTAAATTTATTTTTTCAACACTTAATTGCATTATTAAAATTTTAATAATACCTAGTTTAAAAATTGGCCAAAAATATATGCATTTTCAATATTTCCATTTACTACAAATATATTTAGTGTTTGGAGTTCAAAGGAACACTTATTGCCATAACTAATATGAATTGAAAATTACATAATTTCATCAAATTATAAACATTTGCATTTTACATCCTCATTATAGATTGAAACAATAGGATGAATCAATGTAAGAAAAAATGCATATAAATAAAGAAATACTGAGTTAGAGAGTTTCATTCATCAACTTCCAGTCCTGGTATATACTCCAAGCTCACATCAAAAACAACAGGGCTGTTAGGTGCCACTCTTGGCCTTCCAGGTGCTGAACTGAGGCCTTTAGGAAAAGCCAGCTGTTAAGAACAATGCAAACATGGTTGGCTTTGACAATCTTAATTGAAACAAAGCTTTCGTTTGGAATAGCTTTCTTATTGCTTTGTAAAACAGTTTTTGAATTATAAATTTTTGTACTAAAAATATACTTCAAAGAACAATAAGAAAATTATCCTGAACGAAAACTTTAGGAAAACAAAGAGACCACTTCCTAATGTTTACTTTCATATTGCCATTTTAAAAGCTACCAAACAGCTCTAGCTAAAACAATATGTTATGTGGTTCTCAAAGAAAAGGGCATATATCTAAGGCTTCGTTTGGGACGGTTTTTTTATTGCTTTCTAGAACGGAGTTTTACTACAAAAAGAATTTTTTTTTACTAAAACTCCGTTTTAGAAAGCAATAAAAAAGCCGTCCCAAACGAAGCCTAAATTTGGTCGGCAATCTTTTAGATTAATGCTTCGTTTAGGACGGCATTTTTTTTTGTTTCTTAAAGTAGCTTTTTAGTACAAAGTTTTTAATTTTTGTACTAGAAGGCTGTCTTAAGAAGCAAGAAGAAAGCCATCCCAAACAAAGCCTAAGATTTCATTTGGGACGGCTTTCTTATAGTTTTCTGAAGCAATTTTTTAGTTGTACTAAAAATTTACTTTAAAAAAAAATAAGAAAGCCATTCCAAACGAAGCCTAAATATTCTCTAGCTTCCTGTGAAATTCAATTTATAGCCATGTTTTGAAAGTTATAAAAAATGGCATTCCCATAATAATAATACAACTTAACTGGTCCTGGTATGAATAGTCGTCGTTTCCCTCCAATTTTCATGCTCAATATCCCTTCATCAAGTCCCTTTATTACCTATTATAGAAACATAATTAACTCAGTTAAAATTTCTTAAGAACTATAAGAAAGTTGTAGCTAGGATTGTAAATGAATAGAGTCAGAGTTGAGAAGTATAATATTTAAGGATATCACAAATATGCAAAGTAAAAATTAAAAAAACATAGAATATTAAGAATATAATCAGCATGTGTGTAGTTACATACCTGACCAGAACCAACACGAAATATGTAAGGCAAACCTTTCTCCAAAGAACTGAAAGCATTAAGAATAAAAATAAATTATAGCAATATATATATATATATATATATATATTAAATTTTTTACATGTTTTAATAGTCGTAAAAACTGATTCTAATCCTAAGGATAATTAAAAAATCTAAATCATATTCCTATTATTACTAGGGGTGTCAATTCGGGTCAACGGGTCGGGTTTGGGTCGAACTCGGAACTGACCCGACACGGTTCGGGTCAACCCGAACCCGACCCGTTTTTAAAAACGGGTCAGGTTTCCGGACCCGAACCCGACCCGACACGAATGACATGAAAGTTCACCTAAAATTGTTAGTTTTCGGGTCAAATTGGGTCAATCTTCAATTTTCGGGTATAATCGGGTCAAAACGGGTTTCCGAGTCAAATAGGAATTTTAATGTCAATTTCGGGTTGTTGGGTCAACCCGAACCCGACCCGTTTCGGGTCCGGGTTGACCCTAACCCTGATTTTTTTGGGGTCGGGTTCGGGTCGTGTTTTGAGTCGTGTCAAAAATTGATACCACTAATTATTAGGATTGTAAATTAGTCGAATTTGGGCAAGGTTAGTATTTGTTAGACTAACTCATTAAAAAAATGAGCCAATTTTTTATTTTTTATGTGCTGTGCATTTTACTTATTATGTTTTCAAATAAGAAACCTACTTTAAATGATTTATAATTTAAAAATATATTGGTCGCAACATAAATATTTATCCAAACTGAGTATATACATCTGCTAACTGAGTTGAAAATGCTAACCTGTCAAATATTTGACCATTCGGTACCATGGCAACATAATTTGCTGCAACCTGAATGGTATAGAATGCAAGTTCAGCTCCATAGTTGAAAGAATTATACAGAATCAGTAATTGCTGCACACATATCATTCATAAATTCTTTGACTCAATTTGATAAATTGCCTTTCCAGTTTTCAAGCATCATCTGCCTGGATCAAATCTTTTAGGTAGGGACGTAAGAAAATCATAACATTTGATGAATCGCTTGATAAATGTTTATATAAGACTCGTATATGTTTATGTATTTAGATAGTTGAACCAACAAGAACAAAATTTTTGATCCTTGACATATAAATGAACAAGAAGCTTAAGGTTTCATTTGGACGGCTTTCTTACTGCTTCTTAAAGCAGCTTTGTAGTAAAAAAATTAAAATGTTTGTACTAGAAAGCTGCTTAAAGAAGCAGTAAGAAAGCATCCCCAAAAGAAACCTAAATTGATCCGCTTGCTTATTTATATATGTGAATATATTTGTTTTTTATTTAATAAGTAGCTCGCAAAATCATATAAAATGCTCATTTCATAATAATTCAATAATTTTTTATTAACTTATTCGATATTACTATATCAATATTCTTATACTTTATGTAATTTAAAAGATATCAATTTAAAGGGAAGTATAAATTTGATGAAATTATTGAGCAAAATAACTAGATTGATAGATTAAAAATCTCACCTATTTGTTTAAATCATTAACATCTTACATATAATCAGCTAAGCTCGATTAAAGCTCTATTATGGCTTGAAATCAATAAAACAAAGTTAATAAGTAATCTTAAACAATATTTTGAAACTCATATCACATTAAAGATCAGCTCGAGCTTCATAAGAAAATAGATAAACTAGTTGCCACCATTCTAAACACATAAATGAAATAAGATAATTCAATACTTTCCTTCACTCATAAATTCAAAATATGTGATGCAAACGAGAAATAGCAGATTAACAAATAGCTATTGATGAGAAACAAATAAATCAAAGAAATGACCATAAAATAATGTTGTTTTGAATGCTAATGGGTAATGAAAAGATACCTGAAAACCAATAGGTGGAGTTGGACCAACACCAACTTGTATATCCTTATACTGCAGACCAGTTTCTGTCGTTACCACTGGCACCTAATTACAAGAGAAAGAGAAATTAATGAACAATTTACCGAACTTAGGAATTATCCATGGAAGATATCAAGACCTTACAACATATAGAGATCAATCCCAAAGAGCAGAGAGGGAAGAGACGGACTAAGCTTAAGAGAATTTCTTATATGGATTGGATTACAAAGGACTCACATTTGATCACTTAGAGAAGAGAATCTGTTAAGACTTTGAGGATCGAGGATAAACGGTGAAACAAATTCACCGGAAACTCGATGAAAATGAACAGTTGAGGTAGAGGGAAGAAATGATTCATCAATACCATTTTCTCCCGAAGATGAATTATATAGAGTTACAATATAACCCATGACTCATTTGGTCAACTATTAAGCTCAAGACTAAAAAAGACTATTAAATTATCCATTCCATTTGTTAATGTCAACTTAAGAGTTCCATATTTTGCAATAGTCTCAGCTATAAAAAAGCATATAAAATAAACGAGACAATATGAATCAAAGAGTAGGTAAAGCTCAAGGAGATGCAATCTCACCCTACATTTTCAAGCTCCTTCTCACATGCTTCATCACAAATTCTTGGTTTTTGCTCCTCAGGCAACCCAGCTCCATTTGTTTTAGCTGTGGATATTCCAAAAGCAGTAGATGCTGAAACCAATCTGAGAATGGTTCTTCGACTAATCAGAGTGTTTTCCTCAGTAAATTCCTCCACACTGGCAACTATTCTTCCAGTGCTTGAATAAAAGCATCTTAGTTTAAAATTTGGCATCTTTTTTGGGAACATCTCATGGAAACAACAGGGGGATCTCTTAGTAGAGTTTATACCTATACAATGACAGAACAGCTTGGCTGAGGTGAAGTTCAGCAAGGAAATATATTCTGATTAAGCTAAACAAATTATACATTCTTTACAGGAAATCAAAATATGCAGACCAATAAAACCCCTCTTAAGATACGTGACTATGCCCTAATAAATCGAAATATCGTTAGAAACTTTTCAAAACTGTGTTTTTCAAGTGAACTGGTTCAATAATATCTCTAAAGTTTGAGAGATCAGTATTCTCTTAAGAAAATCCCAAATTTAGGAACAATGGACAAAAATTCAACAATTTCTGCAACTCATTCCTCCCATAACAGAATGCAAGCTAACGTAAATCGTCTTTCCCAAAAAGAAAAACCAGGAGAGATTATGAACTAACAAAAAGGCCAAAATAAAACCTTAATTACGCATTCAACATAAACAACTGGACGGTAAAATTAAGAATACTAAGCCAAATCACATTTTCTCAGAGTGTAATTTATTATTCCAACAGCTTAATTAGAAGTGAAGAGTGGAAAAAAGAGAGACCATAGGAAACCAGAAGGGCCGAAGGAGAGGAAGAAGCCATTGGCGTCCTCTGAAGCTAAAGAGATTTGTATTTCCAGTGGATAAAGTAGCTAAGTAAGCTGGAGACGAAGAAAGGACAATCAGCCACTCGTTATCGACGGAAGGGTAAGCTGCCTCGCGGTACTATTTAAAACTCTGGGTTTTTGGTATCCTATTTTAAGTAGGATTTAAATGAGATTTAATTAAAACTAAAAATAATTATTTTCATTCTAAATTATACTATTTTTATAAAAGTCATTTTAATCTCATTATTATTTAGATTAAAAAATGAATAAACTCTGTCATCCATAGAATTTAATGAATCGAAATAATTTTACTCTTTCACAAATCTTAAAATTTGAAATAAATAGTCTAATAATTTGTAAATTTAAATTTTTTCCTTCTGTACATATTGAAGAAATATTCATTTCGATTTACTTAGTTGAAGGACAAGATCTAAATGAGACGATAAGTTGGCGAAATTTAAGGGAGCTGTATTATTTATTTTATTTAAAAAAAATTACAATTATTACAAATATCATTCGAAATTAGACTAATCACAAATTAACATTCATCGCAAACAAAAAAAAAAATTACACAACTAATATATTAGATAAGATTTTGTTTAAAATTTTGCTGTGCTAATCATTCAAATTGTTTCAATATCCGAGATCAGTATGCCCATATGCTTTAGTTTTTTTATTACGCAGCGAATACATGATCGTAGATGAGTGTCTTTACTCTTACAGATAAGATACAAAATGAGTATATTCGTGAAAAGGTTGGAGTAGCTCCAGTGGAAGATAAGATTAGAGAGAGTCGTCTTAGATAGTTTGGTCACATAAAACAGCAACCTTACGATGAACCGGTTAGAAAAATAGAGGTATTATTTGACTTATATTAAGAAAAGTAGAGGTGGAACTAAAGAGACTTGATTAGAGAATATTATAAATGATCTTTCCTTATTAGATTTAAACGAGAATTAGACTTTTAACAGGACAAAATGGAGTAAAAAGATTAATGTAATCGACTTGATATTGTTGTTGTTGTTGTTTTAGTGAATACGTAATATGCACTCATAGAAATTAAAGTAAAATCATGCACTATTCATATGCTAAGATAAAATTATTTTGGCAAGTAATTCCAATTGTTTAAAAATTGTGCACTATTTTAAAAATATTTTATCAAAATTGTGCACTATTCATATTCATATTTAAAATGGCCTCTAATTTTCATAAATAAAATAAATGTTTACAAAGTTAAGAGAAAATTATTTTACCAAGTAATTCCAATATCTATTTTAAAAATATATTTCATAACAAAATTCACAGAAAAAATTCGAATGAAAGGAGAAAACAATAGTTTTTCTTATACTGCGAAACAACATAAAAGTTCAACAAAGTCACCTTAAAAATTTTGTATAATTTAATATAATGAAAGTATTCTATAAGGCACAAAACAAATAAAATTTTTTTCTCATATATATACTAATTATTAATATAGAGCACAAATACAAAGTAAAATCAATAAATATAATTCTTTTTCACTCAAATTTTCTCCAAATTAAAATAAGATATAAAATGTTATTATGTTTGATTTGATAAAATTTAGAAGTGAAGCAGATCAAATTCATAAATTATATATTTAGATTATTTGCAAATAAATTTAATAATTTTGACATCCATTTTAACCAAATTTCAATAAGCATATATCCTCACCGAAAAAAATTTCGTACAGTAATCATTCAATATGACAATAATATTTTAAAGAAATAGACAACCTTCAGAGTTCGCGAATAAATATTCTGTTCCACTTCTCAGACATAACAGCCTAAGAGGAAATGTTGGAAACTAAGCACCGTTCATTTCCTGATGAGATTGGGTAGATTTGAAATCAGCAACAGATTTTTCAAATGTAGACCTCACATGCTGGCATAATAAAATCAGATCTTGGAAAGATTCTTTCAGCACATCCTTTGCAGAATCACCTGTTTTCAAATTAAATTACAAGAAAAAAATTTGTTATATCAATTTCATTCATGTGGCCATGTCTACTTTATGTTACAACTAAAAGTAAAATAAAAAAGAGAGTTTTGCAGTTATTATTGCTGAAAAAATCCATTTGGATCAGTTTGATAGTAATTCAACATGACTTGTATATTTTTCGTGCTTAATCGAGTCGAGTTCAGGTTGAAATCTTCCACCAATTTCAGAAATAAGTCAAGTTTGGGTTGACTAGACTTAGATTAGGCCGTTTATGAATCAAATCCTAAAAATCAAACTTGGCATGTTAAATCATTTTGACAATCCTGATTTATCCTTGCATAGGACCATCAAGTAAGAAAACAAGTGAATTTTCTAAAAGCAAAATGATGGAAATAATAGAAAACATTGCAGATAAAGATAAAAGAGGAGCTTAATGTACCTGTAGTTTGAACTCTTATGTTAACCTTGTTTTCTGATGGATGAGGAATACTGTACCCACAAAATTCAACCCGAGGGCTGCGTCGACAGAAGACAAGATAAAGAAAAAACTTATTAACACCACATTTATCAGCAAAATTACAGTATAGAGTAGTAGAGTAGTATAGTATAGTTATATTATAGTATAGTAGTATAATATAGTATAGTAGTTGTAGCAGTATAGTATAGTAATAGTATAATATAGTATAGTAGAGTAGAGTATAGTAGTAGGTATTATAGCAGGATAATTTAATTATTTATATATAGTTTTACTATATGTCCTTTTGCATGGCCATTTCACATTCAGTATTATTTAGGAACACCTAGTTTTGACGTATTGACCATCATCCACCACATTGATGCCTACTAGTAAGTAAGGGCACCTCAAAACTTCATTAATCCCTAATTAGTGGACAGAAAATTAAGGTTAGGATTAATGAGGGTTAACTTCACGCACAATCTTTTATGTGAATCATTCATTTTCTTGGCTTTAGAATCAGATGAAGCGCTAAAGCTCAACTATCAAAAGCCAAGATTTTTAAATTCTAGCTTCTTTGAGACTCTTGATGTTGATTATATTTTGCATCAACAAGACAGACAGGTTGTCATCACAATCGTGTTTTGAAACCTAATTCAACAAAACTTTCATATGAAGTTTGACTTGTAAAGCCTAAAATTCCTTACTCCATATTTAATTTAAAGTTACTATTCATTCTCATTAAATTAAGATCATTAGCATTTAGCATTAAGATTGTGATAAGGCTCACTGATAACCTTCATCCTGATCTTGGAGCATGAAAATTGCATACTAAGTTTGCCTTGTAAAGAATAAAAAATTTCTAACTCAATATTTAATTTAGAGTTATCCTTGCTTTTCATTAAATTTAGATCATTAGCATCTGGATTGTGAGAAGGCTCATCGATAACCTTCATCCTGATCTTATATCACTGATGGAATTGCATATAGCTACCATGGAACCTGAAATGTTTTAGTTCAATTCATCATCAATATGCTCAAAATGTTATTGCATACTAAGTTTGCCTTGTAAAGAATAAAAAATTTCTAACTCAATATTTAATTTAGAGTTATCCTTGCTTTTCATTAAATTTAGATCATTAGCATCTGGATTGTGAGAAGGCTCATCGATAACCTTCATCCTGATCTTATATCACTGATGGAATTGCATATAGCTAGTTAGCTACCATGGCACCTGAAATGTTTTAGTTCAATTCGTCATCAATATGCTCAAAATGTTATGTTTCGAAATATTTTTACTCTACATTGAAAGACACTACTAAACACCTGAAGCCTGTAGGTTCAACATTACCCATCACACTAATGGGATACAACCTGAAGCATGAATGATAAACCAACCCACTTTTTCTATTCTTTTCCGAGTCTTGTCTCATTCTTTTTTTAATTTAACTTTCCATTTTCACCGTCATATTTTGCCATAATTTCATATGAAAGGTGCTAAACCACTCTTAAATCATCTTTGAGATCAGAAACAAATTACCATTGGCATTCGTCTGAAATGTTTCTTTAGGGTCTCATTTCAATATTTTAATCGCGAATACACCTATTAATCTATTAAGGAATGGATTTACATTCGTCTGAAATGTTTCTTTCCTAAATAGGAAGGTTTTTGAAACCTTTTCAAATGAAAAATGCAAAGCACCACCAACTAAGGGAATAAGATTCAATGAAAATCCCATACTAAGTTTGTCTTTTAAAGCATAAGAAAATCCTTACTCTATATTTAATTTAAAGTTGCCATTGCTTCTAATTAAATTTAGATCATTAGCATTTGGATTGTGAGAAGGCTCATCGATAACCTTCATGCTGATCTTAGATCACTTATGGAATTGCATATGGCTAATATGGCACCTGAAAAGTTTAGCTCAATTCATCCTCAATATGCTCAAAGAGTTATGTTCCGAAAGATTTTTACCCAATATTGAAAGACACTACTAAACACTTGAAACCAGAAGGTTCAGCATTACCCATCGCACTAATAGGATACAATCTGAAGCATGAATGGATGATTGTTTTAGTTATACACTAAACCAACCACTTTTTCTAATTTTTTCGTATCTTTTATCTTTCTGTTTTTATTTGTCATTCAATCTTCACCGTCGTATTTGGCTATAATTTTTACGAAAGAAGCTCAACCACTTAAATAATCTTTGAGATCGGACATAAGTTACCATTGGTATTGAAAACGACGGAAAAAAAATAATAAAAGGCACCTATAGAGATTCTGCATCCATCACCTGTATGACTTTTTCATTTTTTGTGATATCGAATACTTCCATTATATTATATCAATCTTGAATTTTCCTCTCCTCTCCTCTCCTCCCATACTCCAATAACTTTTGCCAACTTTGAACATCAAAGGCACATGTAATATTGTGTTTATCCAATTTTGTTATTTGTATCCTTCCAAAATCCATATGGATTTAAGATCAACAATAATGGACACATTGAGGTGAATTGATTAATGACATATTACTAAGTCAGTCAGCCTTTGAAGCATATCTTGTTAAACAGCTTTTTTGTAAATAGCTTATTCATGCTATCCCCATATTTAAAAAAAAAAAGTAAAGGGAATATTGACAGTGCTCTTAGTGCATTGAGCAAGATAGTTTTGGGGTCTCCTTCCAATCTTTTAATCTCTAATATGCCTATTAATCTATTAAGGGATGGCTTTCCATTCATCCAAAAAGTTTTTTGTCCAAAGTAGAATGGTTTTTGAAACCTTTTTTTATTAAAAAACAAGCAAAGCATCATAAACTGAGGGAACAAAATTCAATGAAAATTTCAGTACTAAGTTGGGTCAAATCGAAAAAAAAAAGGTACCAGGCACCTTCAGAGATTCTGCATCCATCACCCATAGGACTTTCTCATTTTTTTACTATACACAACACTTTCATCATATTGTACCAATCTTGAATTTTTCTATCCTCTCCTCTCATATAGGGTGTCAATATTTGACACAACCCGAAAACCTGACTCGAACCTGACCCGAAAAATTCCGGGTTAGGGTCAACCCGTTTGAGAAACAGGTCGGGTTTGGGACCGGGAATCCGACCCGTTTGTAAAATTGGGCCGGGTTTGGGTTGATCCAGAAACCCGAAACCAACACGGGTTGAAACGAAAATATCGCACTCGTCGGCGTCGGCCAGTGAAAAACGTCGTCCTGTTGCATCACGTCGTCCCATATGCGCAAAAGTGCCGTCTGCGGCGAAGTTTGCATCGTTGCAGCCTGTCAACGTCGTCTGTGGCGGTGTCACGTGACAAACGTTCATCGACATCGTCTAGTTGCAACCCGCCATCTCGCACACTGGCGAGCCCAACCTGCTGCACACCAGCAAGCCCTATCGTGCTCGCGAAAGGCGAAGCCGCGTGAGGCTTTGCCGGGTTCGAGTCAGGTGGGTCGTGTCGAGTTGACCCAGACCCGAGGCGGGTCTGGTTTGGGTCAAATCAAATAGTGTCGAATAAATTTCGGGTTGGACTCGAACCTGACCCGAAACTCGATTTTGACAGCCCTACTCTCATACTCCAGTAACTTTGCCAGCATTTGACGTCCCCAAGCACAAGCAATATTATGTTATCAAACTTTCCTCATTTGTATCCTTCCAAAATCCATATGGATTTAAGATCACTAGATGTGGGCACATTGAGGTGAATTGATTGATTATATATTACTAAGTCGGTTAGCATTAGAAGCACATCTTATTATGCAACTTTTTTTGGAAACAACTTATTCATGTTATCCCCACATTAAAAAAGCAAAAGGGATATTGATAGGGATCTTGGTGATATGGAGCAATATATATTTAGGGTCTCATTCCAATCTTTTAATCGCTGATACACCTATTAGTCTATTAAGGAATGAATTTACATTCATCTGAAATGTTTCTTTCCTAAAAAGGAAGGTTTTTTTAAACCTTTTCAAATGAAAATGCAAAGCACCACAAACTAAGGGAATAAGATTCAATGAAAATCCCAAACTAAGTTTGTCTTGTAAAGCATAAGAAAATCCTTACTCAATATTTAATTTAAAGTTGCTCTTGCTTCTCATTAAATTTAATTCATTAGCATTTGGATTGTGAGAAGGCTCATCGATAACCTTCATCCTGATCTTAGATCACTTATGGAATTGCATATGGCTAACATGGCGCCTAGAGCTGCAAACGAACCGAGCCGAGCCGAGTTTGTGAGTGTTCATGTTTGTTTTCATTTAATATCAGCTTGTTCAAGTTTGGTTCATTTAAATTAAAGAGTGTTCATGTTTGGTTCATGTTCAGTTCATGTTCGTTCGTTTAGTGTTTATCGAGCTTGTTCGCGAACATATTTAACGAATTTTTTTAACTATCAAACAAACACGTTCATGAACATATCTATGAACAAATACATTTATAAGAAAAGCAATTGTATATGTAACAAAGGTAATGATTATTTATATTTATTAATTTTATAGTCAAATATTAATTATTTTTATCGAGCTTATTCACGAGTTCAAAATCGAACATGAATCGAGCTTTTATTGAGCTTCTTATCGAGCTTAATGTCGAGCTTGTTCACGAACTTCAAATGATGTTGTTCGCGAACATAAATGAGCCGAACGCATTAGTGTTCAAGTTTGTTTATTTAATAATCGAGTATTTAAAATATTGTTCAAGTTTGTTTGTTTAGTTAATTAAACGATCGCAAACGAGCTTTAATCGAACCGAACAACGAGTAGCTCGCCGAACATTTGGTTCGCTTGCAGCCCTAATGGCGCCTGAAAAGTTTAGTTCAATTCATCATCAATATGCTCAAAATGCTATGTTCCGAAAAACTTTTTCCCTATATTGAAAGACACTGCTAAACAATTGAAACCTGAAGGTTCAACATTACCCATCACACAAATAGGATGCAATCTGAAGCCTGAATGGATGATTGTTTTAGCTAATGCACTAAGCCAACCCACTTTTTCTAATCTTTTCTATTTCTGTTTTTATTTGCCATTCCATCTTCACCGTCATATTTGGCTATAATTTCTTATGAAAGGAGCTCAACCACTCTTAAATCATCTT